TCATTAGAACCCATCGACCCTCCTATATTTTTCACAGCTTACAATTCAAATATTCCATCCAATCCCGTCCCACCAGATCTCGTGCTTCCGACCTCTATCCTCCTCCTCACCGAACTGCTGCGTTTGACAAATCCTTTGCAATACAAGCCGCCTCCCTCTGGAATTCCATCCCAGCTGATATTCGACACGCTCAATCAGTTTCCTCGTTTAAACCTCTCCTCTTTAAGCACCTACTCCTTTCTCAATCCGAATGATTGTGAAATATATCTAAGAGAAATATCTGAGCACCACCAGAGACTACCTCAATTTATTAAGGTTATTTTAGTTTCTCATACATATGTACAATTTACTTGTTCTTTTCTTTCTCTTTTCTGTATTTTTATCGTAAGTCAACTCTCATTGTAAATATACAATTTAATTGTAGCCACACAGACATATAATCTGTATTCATATTTTGTTCTTAAGGGACAACAGTCCCAGAATAATAAAACATTTTTTTCATTTCAATAAGATTTGTTTTCAGAATCTCAAGAGATACGTATATTACCCAGTATTACACCGAGTTGAAGTGGCTCTATCCATCCTATCGCCGTCAGTACTTCCTAGCCACCTTTCTGTACCAGATCATTAGAACCCATTGACCCTCCTATATTTTTCACAGCTTACAATTCAAATATGCCATCTAATTCCGTTCCACTAGATCTCATACTTCCGACCTCTATCCTTCTCCTCACCGAACTGCTACTGCTGCGTTTGACAAATCCTTTGCAATTCAAGTCCCCTCCTGGAATTCCATCCCTGCTGATATTCGACATGCACAATCAGTTTCCTCTTTAAGCACCTACTTCTTTCTCAATCCGACTGATTACGAAATATACCTACCTAAGTACCCCCAGAGACTACCTCAATTTATTTAGGTTGTTTTATATATATGTACAATTTTCTTGTTTTTTTCTCTCTCTTCTATATTCTTATTTTTGATTAACTTTTATTGTAAATATATACTTTATTTATGACCACACAGACATGCAATCTGTACTTATAGTTTGTTCTAAAGGGACAACAGTCTCAGAATAATAAAATATATTTTCATTTCATTTCATCTATGCATTTCTTTGTTGCTTGTGAGTATGTTCCCTTCTTTATCTTGGATTCGCTTGAGTACTGGTTTTCTCTCTTGATGTATTTTTCGAAGCTCCCTGTGAAATAGTTTTAGGTTATCTTGGAAGTTGTCTTCCAAACTCTTTTCAGGCTTTCCTTTAGGCTTCCATGATCTTGTTTTTCACTAATAGCCTTTGGGCTACATATTTTTCGTAATCATTACGGGAGTTTGTTTTTTAGATATTACTTCCAATATATCTTCTTCTGGATGATTTCCTCTTTGACCTCGTCATTCCACCATGTGGTTATCTTTAGCAATATTTTAACAAAATATTAAAGTTTTTTACAATACAAATTATCGTTCACTCTGGAATTGTCCGACTCCTACAGCTTTGTGGAGGAAAATATTTAAAAGGTTGATAGTAGACATTAAGATCTACAAAAAGTTCATATAAACAATTGCCCAATTACCAGCAGAAAAGTAGGAAATTTAAGATTTGTATTTTTTAAAGCGATTCACATTTTTTGTTGAATAGGAAGCAATAACTAAATAAATATTTGATTTAAGTAATTAAACATTGCTCCATGGTAAACTAAACAAAATTTACTTCAACCAAATCAGAGTTGGTCATTGTTAAAACCATTTAAAGAGGACTATTGAGCCGACAAACTCAGCTAAGTTCAGCTTAAAAAAAAAGTTCATAAATAATTATTTGTTGTTTCTTTTTATCATCCTACAACTGTACTACAGTTACCCTACTTTTAGAAAAACTTCCTCTTTTAATAAGCTTTAAGTCCATATTAATTAAGTTGAGATTTATTAAGACAAATTTTGGGATTTACCCCAAGCTGTGTAAAGTAATGATGTGATTTTCTATCCAGTCACCTAAGAGTACCCATGTTTTCATCAAAAATGATTACAATTAACTGTTGCAAAGCTTTAATTTCTTGATTTTCCATGATATGAGATTTATTGTGATACACTAAATTGCCTAAATACCGATTTTATTTATAAAAATAAAATATTTAAAAATAATGACTTTTCAAATATTTTTCATGAAAAAGCAGTTATGAAATTATGTTTTTTCTTCCATAATTTTGTCATAGGAATTGATGTCTATTTATAATTGTGCGATTAGAGATTCCTGGGAGTCCTTGTCTGGATTCCTGTTTCTCTGATCGCTTTTTCCTAACATAAGTTAAACAATAGGCATGGAAGGGAGTCTCCTTGTCGGACACCGTTAATAGCTGTAAATCCTTGAGAGAAATTCCCTTGAATACACACCACATTTTCAATCTTTTCCATAGTCAGTTTTACCAGGCATATAAATTTTGTTGGGGTATCAAAACATTTTCATTGCCTGTATAGAGATTCACACTGAACACTATCATAGGTTGACTGGAAATCCACAAATAAGTGGTGTGTTTTTTATTTAGCACTCTTGGTCACACTCACAGTAATGCATAAGGAAAATATCATATCAATTGTGGACTAAACCTGGCAAAAACCACATTGATATCTCCCCAAGATTTTTACAACATGCAGCAGGAGGTGCTTGTAAAGTATGTTGGAGAAGATTTTATAAGCACACGGCAACAGCGAAATACTTCCCTAAATAACTCCCTTTCTTGTGTACAGGGCAAATAATTTTTTATTCCAATCTTTTGATATTACTTTGTTTAAAATCAAAACTAGGAGGTTATGCAACAGATTTATGAGTTCCTCTCCACCTTCCCTGAAGAATTCAGAAGACAGCGCATCAGAGCCTGGGGCTTTATTATCCTTAAGTTTATCTATTGCTTCTTGAACTTCTCTTTGCCAGGGGGCTCTAGCTCATCTTCTGATATTAAAGTTTACTCTGTTACTTTCAGCAGGTCATCCTGTGTGTAGTTTCATTGAGCATTCGTTCAAAGTGACAGTTCCATCTTCTAAGAATTTGATTCTTGTCACTGAGTAATGATCCATTGATATCTCTGCATAAGGACAGTTGTGGCATGAATGGCTTCCTGCCATTATTCACTCTTTGGTAGAATTTAAGACATTCATTAGCATTTCTTGAGGTCTCGATATCTTCTAATTCCTTATTTTCTCATGCTGTTGCGTCAGTGTTTATCTTCTATTGCTTTTGCGTCTGTGTATTATCTTCTCTTCCTTCCTTTTTTGTCTGTATGCATCTACCGAGGTTCGTGTATTTTTATAATTTTGTATGCTCCATTATTTTGATTGGTGGCTAATCGACATTCTTCATCAAACCTAGGAAATCTTCTCTCGAACAGTTTAAAACCTATAGTTTTTTTCAGTTGCCATATCAATTGTTTCATATACTGTTGTCTTAATTGTTGACCTCATCTGATCAACATCCGTGTCCAATGAATGTGGTCTGTTCACCAAATTTTCTTTAATTTGTTGGACAAATTTCATGCATTATTGAGGATATTCATATTATGAGGAGTTAAACTTCTTGGTTCTTTGACCTTGTATTGTCTTAACATTCGAGATTCTGGCTCTCACTCATGCGATAGTTAGGAAATGATCAGTGTCTATGTTGACCCTTCGATATGTTCGAACATCTAGAAGGTTGGATTTATGTCTATCCCTGATCAGGAAATGATTGATTTGGTTCACCGTATTCCCGTTGAGAGATCTCCAGGTATCTAGTTGATCCTTTTATGATGGAAAAGACTGCTTCCTACAACTAGATTCTGTGATGCACAGAAGTTGACTAGTCTTTGGCCATTTTCATTACAGGTTTCATGGAGACTATGCCTTCCAATGGTAGGTATATAGAATGTTTCCTTACCAACCTTAGTGTTAAAATCGCCTGTAATTATTTTCATGTCAGACCGAGGACATGCTCTAACTGTAGATTGTAAAAATCCTCCTTGTCTCGTTCATCTGATACTTCAGTGGGGGCACGGCAGCTGAAGACTGAATAATATAAGAATTTTCCTATAACTCTGATAATGCATAGTCATGGATTCACAGGTTTGAAGTAAATTATAAGTAGTCTAAATCTTCTAGCCACAACAAATCCACTTCCAAATATGTGCTTCTTATATCACAGCTATAATATATGGTGCGATATTTTTTTTTCGATAACTCCAATACTGCGAGTAAGTTGTATACTGTTTTGTATGTATTTGTGCAGTGTATTGAACTTGGGAAATCGGGAGTACATTAGGCTCCACTAGCTGTGCACTTCAGCTTCAGCTTTGCGGCATAACAATTGTAAATTTAATTACAGATTTATTTTGTTTCTTTCATAGCTTTTTATTTGTATGTAGGAAGGTATCTTCAATTTATTTTATTGTTTGTGACATGTATTTTGTTTTCTCAATATAGTATTAACTACTATTGGTTTTATTTAAAATTAATTAAAGTCTACGGATAGATGAAGCAGAATTGATAATTCATTTATATATATTTTTTTTTGGAAACTCCCCAATGCTAAAAAAAAAAATTATGATCCAGGGTGCAACCTACTCCTGGAGTTTGGTCCATTCCTACCAACTTTCCGTGAAAACATCTGAACACTTAAGTAATGATGAAAGTGGCCTCTAAGCTTGAACCTAAGATTTAAAAGTATTTTGTTTAAACAAAAAAAGATATTGATGATAAGCAAAAAAAAATTGATATGAACAGATAAGACTGATAAACATCCAAAGCAAAAGATAATGCTCATATTGTTCAACAGTTACTCAATGTAAAAAATTCAAAGAAAAAGTCAAAGTAATCATGCAAATTATTATAAAATAACCAAAAAGAGAAAAAAAAAACAATGGTTAATTAATTAATCTAATAAATTTTAGTCATTTACTCTATAGCTTAACATAATGAAAGCAATCATTAAAATGTTTCTAAATTGATTTCAAATAAGAACATAACACTCAATGCTCACCTGATATAAAGATCTTATACTAGGTTGGAAAATAAATGACTGATCCAGCAAAAATGATCTCAAAAGTGGTTGAGGATAAATGGCAAGTCTAGAAATTAGCCCTGTAAGTTGTAGGTTAATGAAAAGGTTTTGTGTAAACATATTTTCCAGTTTATTAAGAATAGCCTGCAAGAAAGGACCTAAAATCAAAAGTTTAGAGTTAAAGCTATTTATGTTCTTTTTAAAAATATACCATCAATTTTGAACAATTTGGTTGATATTTTAAAACTTCAAGATTTGTTTGTATATTGTAAAAATTTATCATTATTACAAAATTGAGGTCTGATTATGAATATGCCATCAGTATTGTCTTTGCCTCAATTAGAAATATACATCAGTTAAAACTGGAATTTCTCAGTTCATTTTTGTCTAGTTTTTTTTTATAACAACCAAATTGTGCAACAAAAAACTTTTAATAACCATTCTGGTTAAATAACATTATACCAAAAAAAAAAAATATATATATATACATAGTTGTACGAAATGCAAGAGAGCACATGTCCTCTATCCAGATAGGAAATGCACAACAAATACTATGAGAGGTAAGTTGAATTCATTCAACATCAACATAAACCACTAGCTGTACTGAATGATAAAAGATGAAATCCTTAACAGACCATGTTAGTGTGGAGATCTTTAATGCTAAAGAATATTAAATTTTAAATATTATAAAACAAAATAAAAAAATAATATGAGTTAGAACTTTTTTGATTTTTAACTAACAAGGAGATATGTTTACAGTGAGTGGATTACCGATTTCAATCAAATTTTTTTCAGTGGTACTACATCAAAAAATATTAAGACATGTTCCGGTATTAGTTCCAATAGGTTTTAGGAACCGAGAAAAAAATTATTTTATAATTTTAAACAAAATGTATGATTAAGTAAAAAATATGACTCTGGTATTAAATGAGTTATAATGTATCATAAATTAAAAAAAAAAAAAAAGTGCTTTCATTTAAGTAGGCCAAGTATATTTTTGTTGAGGTTTTCCTTTTCCAATCACCTTTGACTTTTCAGGGTTTATTTTCATATTAATATGGGCTAGTTCTTCCTGAGGTTTAACTGAAGATCTCTTCCATTTCTTCCAAATATCACTGTATCATTTCCGAAGGCAAATACATTTAAATGGTTTTATCCCCTTGTGGAAACCCTTCATCTTGTTCTTGACATTCTTCAAGGTAGTATCTAACACCAATATAAACAAGAGTAGGCTAATGATGTCAGTCGAAGATTTAAATTCTTTGGAGTTGTTATTGCAGGTTCTAACGAAGTTTCCACAGTTAGCAAAGAGGCTTAATATTACTTTCCGGTATTCAAGTGTCACACCTTTTTCTCTTAATGGCTTTTCAACATTCTGGACATTAACCCTGTCGAAAGCTTTGATTAGATCAACAAAGCAAATATAGGTTTCTTTTTCCTTATCTATGAGAATGCACAAAGTATGTATGAAATATGCACAAAGGTATAAATAAATCATGTAAATGTTTAAGACCCATAACGACTGGAATTGTAGGTATGAAAATAACAATATCATCACCGATCGGGTAGAAATATTAGGCCAATTTAGCAAACTCTGATAATATTTTTACAATGGGGAATAATGATATGTGTCCTTCTGAGTACCAGAATGCCGAAACATTAATAGAAGAACCAACTAAAGAGGAAGTTAAAATAGCTATTGGAAAATTAAAATCTTATAAAGCAACGGGAACTGATAATATTCCTAGTGATCTAATTAAAGCATGTGGGGAAGCTGAAGTTTCTAAAATATATTTATTTGGTAAATGGCCTGGAGAATGAGAAATTATCTGAAGAATGTAAAAAAATCCTTTCTTATTCTGATTCACAAAAAGGGCCTGAGAACGGATTGTAATAACTATCAAGGAATTTCATTCATTTCGGTAAGTTATAAAATATACACATTATATATATATCTTAACTAGTCAAATCATAGAATACACCAAGAAAATTATCGGAGATTAGTAATGCTGATTTATATGGAAATGTTCGACTAATGATCAAATATTCTCCTTACAGCAAATATTGGAGAAAAAAAATAGAGTATAAGAGTGTTGTTTACCAGCTTTATATTGATTTAAAAAAGGTTTATAATTCCAATGGGAGGGGTATAATATCGTAATTGAGCAGGGTATCCCAAAAAAATTATTGAATCTAGTTAGGATGTGTATGTCCGATACATTCAATAATTTTCAAATTGGATGTCATTTATCCAAGAAGTTTGAGGTTCCTTCGGGCTTAAAACAAGGTGATTCCTTTTCACCTGTCCTATTTAATTTGGCATTAGAACATATATGGTTAGCACAAGACGAAATATATGGTCAGCAGAAAAAATTGGTGATAATTTCAGTGTTACAGAAATTGAAAGAATAATGTGACCGATTATAATATGGGATGAGCTAAGTCTTAAGGTTTCTGAAAATAAAGTATTGCATCGAATATTTGAATCTATGAAAAATGAGTCAACCGGAGAATTTAGGAAGTTACACAAGGCTGAACTGTGCGGAATGTACGAAGCTAATATAATTAACATGATTACGTTGAGACGAATAAAATGAGCATGTAAAATTGCTGGGCTTAGGTATGAAAGAATTCATAAAAATTTAATATATACTCTGCTGAATAGTAAGCATCCAAGGGGTAGACTGAAGCGGAGTTGGGAAGATTGCGTTAAGGTTGATCTGGTGGGGTTGGGTTCAGACAAGACCCGGTGGATGGGAAAATGCGGACATCAATTGGTGGTATTTGCATTAAACCTTCATCAGTTCGCTAGCCCTTATTATTATTTTCAGAATTTCACATTTCCTAATTGCCTAATATTTCTACCCGATTGGTGATGATATTGTTATTTTCATACCTAAAATTCCAGTCGTTATGGGTCTTAAACATTTACATGATCTATTTATACCTTTGTGCATATTTCATACATACTTTGTGAAAGTACATACTTTTTTTATCTAATACATTTTATCTCATTTTAGTTAGTTTTTATTTTCATTTTACTTAGTTTTTATCTCATAATATTTTATTACATTTTTTGTTAATTAATTATTTTTTAAAATGTTTTAATCCTTTTGTTACCTAATTTCATTAATAATTTTTATTCCATTAGTCCCCATCTCAGTTTATTTACAAAAGTTTTAAAACAAGTAAACAAGTTAATTTCATTATTCCCCAACTTCATTGCCATTATTATTTATTTCATAAATTCCTTTCTATTACTGTTATTAGTTCATCTCTAATATTGTTATTAGTTATTTCATAAGTTCCTCTCTGTTACTGTTATTAATTATTTCATATGTTCCTTGCGTTATTATTATTGATATTATTTTTTATTTATTAATATTCTTTTTTATAAGTTAATAGTTTCTTATATTGTAATACAATCTTTTCTTAGCACTGATGAAGGCTTGAATATCATTTATTCATTTTTTATTTTTTACTGAACACCCAACCAACTTCTCTTCAATTATATATTATTATATTTTCCCAGTATTTTACCTGTAGAATGAAGTCTCCTGTTCTCTCTATAGTAACTAATTTTAAACCTGTCTCAATTCTTTCCAATTTCTCAAACCCACTCGAAAGACTGGTCCACTCACAGCTTAATAATTTCTGGTTTGTGATCCCAATATTCCCCACAATCAGCTTTGTTTAAAATTACCCAAAACCTTCAATTCTCCATAGAAAAATAGAATATCTCTATCCTGATTCTTTTCGATTTTTCAAAAGTCTTCGATTCAGTTAATCATGAAATCCTACTTTCCAAACTCCAAAACCTCTGCATATCAAATAGATTTTGTAAAGTGTTTCCATTCCTTTTTGTCTCATAGATCCCAAACAGTTATCATTCCGAATAAAACTCCTTCCTATTAAGACACTATTAAGGCTGCCATCATTTATAATTTTATTTCAACATTTTTAATTTAATTTATGTTAATATTTAAAATGCTGTGGCACAGTAGCAGTACCATCTATTGGTAGAGGAGTGAACTAAAGAAATCTTTCTGGTAAAATGTTATCTGAATACTCAAAGAGCAAGGGCCCTGATCTACTTTCTTTTTAGATGTCTCATCTCTACAAAATGAACAGATAGACCCCCTAAGAGAGAAGTGGTTGGGGAGAGCCAGGAGATATGGCAGCAGTTAGTAAAAGTGAAGAAGGATGACGAGGAAGCGGCAAGATATGCAGGAAGTAGAATTCACTGAACCAGAGCATACCAAGTACACCAAATTATTATCACTAACACAATAACTATAAATGTTAATAATTAGAGCCCCCCTCCCATTTAATGTCTACCAGATGTATCATTTTATTTTATTTTACATTTTTATTTCTTAATTATATATTGTCTTTCTTAACCTTAATTTTGACTATTATCATTTTGAACTCCCCTCCTGATCTATATTAGCATTAGATCTGTTTCCTCCCTAATATGGGATAAAAGGAGGCCTACTGCATTCAACATACCCTTTTCTCTATATATTTTAATGATCTCCCTAATACCATTTTCTATTAACAATATTACTTATACGCTGATGACCTCCAAACCTACCAATCCTTTCATTCTGCTGAGATGCATGAGGCGAACCAAATGTTACAAGAAGATATAGATATTATCAACACATGGGTTGTTATCAATAGTTTGAGCCTGAACGTTAAAAAAACCAAGGCCATCCTCATTGGTTCTAAGCACCTTCATTCCATTTCTTATCATCCATTACACTACCTCAATCGTCTACCTATTCATTTTCCTGCATTTGTTAGATACCTTGAATCAATCTTTGATTAAAGTCTACCATTTAATTATCGGATCTCCCAAATTACCTGAAAATCCATAGCAATCCTTGAACAGTTTCTCAGACTTTCTGATTCAATACCCCTAAAAACCCGCCAGCTTTTAGTCCCCACCCTCATTTTCTTCCACTTTAACCATGACTGCCTGGTATACAGTTGACTGTCTGGTAAGTGTGAGATGAGACTGAAGAAACTAATGAATTGTTTAATTATGAGAAGGAATTAGTCGAGGGTGCGGTCAAAAAAATAAAAAAAAATTAAAATATATAAATAATTTTAATTTTTGCCGACGTTTCGACCCACTTTGCAGGTCGTCTTCAGGGCTACAAAAGATACAAACATGTTGAAAAAATAAAAATAAAATAAAAAATAAATATAAGTATATATAAATTACGAAGAAGTTGTCAGATACAGAAATAAAAGATAAAGAAAATAAATACATGATAAGAAAATAGATAAAAGAAAATAAATACATGAATGTTAACGAATAAATTGATTGAAAATTGAATAACTATTGTTACTGTAAAGTTAAAATATGGATAAGATAACATAATAATAAGATATCAGTGGATAACAAGCAAGTGGAGGTTACCTTTAATTGTAAATAAACAGATAACGGGACCAAAGGTTAAGAAGTGAAGAAATTGAAAGATTAATAGGGTAACATTAGTGTAATATTGTTGGGATAGATTATTAAGTATAAATAACTCTATAAGAAAACAATAATTTTAAAAGAATACTTTAAAATGTAAGAATAAATGTAAAAACAAGGTTATGATGATAAAGAAACAAAAAACAGGTTGTACTATATATAGATGACAATTGACATTTAGTTTTTTGAAAGCGGTAATGGAATGGTAGGCTGTATGAAGATAATAATAAGGTGTATAGTTGAAGGATAGGTGTGTTAATCTACGTAATTTGTTATTATCCCTAACCATTCCCGATAATTACATTCTAGTCTCTTTCGACGTTAAAAGCCTCTTCACCAACATCCCTATAGATAAAGCCCTTCTTATAGTAGAAAATAACTGGTCATCCTTAGAGTCTCATACCTCCCTTAACCGTTCATCATTTATTGAATCCCTACAACTTTGTTGCAAATCTGGTTATCTCCAGTTCCAAGGACAATTTTATAATCAAATTGCAGGATTAGCTATGGGTAATCCTCTCGCACCCGACTTATCTAACATTGTTCTTAATGATCTCCTAAACACCATAGCCCCACAGTTTCCTAATGACATATTTCTTATAAAAAAATACGTCGATGACCTTCTTCTCATCGTCAATCCTGATACTATTCCTGACATCCTTTCCGCCTTTAACTCATATCATCCCCGCCTCTCTTTTACAGTTGAATACGAAGACAACTATTCCCTCCCTTTCCTCGATCTTCTCATTAAAAGACATCCCAACAATACTTTATCCACAGACTGGTACACAAAACCAACATACTCTGGCAGATTACTCAACTACTATTCTCAACACCCCTTTCACCAAAAACTTAACGTTGCCAAAAACCTCATTCACCGATGTTTTTCTCTATCTGACCCTTACCTACATGAAACAAACACTAGACGCATACAACGGATACTATTGTCTAATAACTTCCCCTCCAACACCATTAAAAAACTTATTACTGACTACAAAACCCGCCCCTCATCCTCCATCTCTTTCTCTAGTTCTCAAAATCAGCCCCCCATTCCTTTATATAGATCTCTACCATACATCCCTTTACTTTCGGATAGAATTCAAAAATCTTTACGTTCCTCTATTCCCAACCTGCGAGTTGCTTTTAAAAACTATAACAAACTTGCCAATATTTACTCCAACCTAAAAGACCCCATCCCTCCGCAAAACCGCTCTAATATCGTATACCGCATTCCTTGCTCTACCACCAATTGTAACTCCGCCTATATTGGAGAAACCAAAAACCAACTTAAAGACCGCATCAAACAACATAAATACTCAATTACTTCTAAGAACTCTACTGCTTCTAAACTCTCTGAACACGCCTTAACCTCAAACCACACATTTGACTTTGACAATACCTCCATTCTTGCCACAGTACCTAACCACGACAAAAGACTACTTACGGAAAGTGTTTTCATTCAATTAGACTACAAACCACTTAACTTAAAAACCGACAAGCAAAATCTATCACTCGCCTACTCCCAAATCATCAACATTTTAAAAAAGTCTCGATCATAAACCTCTATTTAATCTTCTCACTTCCATTTATACTTTCTTTTACTTCTCCTTTTATATATATATATATATATATATATTATATATATATATATATATATATATATATATATATATATATATATATATATGTATATATATATATATATATGTATGTATATATATATATATATGTTATATATATATATATATATATATATATATATATATATATATATATATTATATATATATATATATATATATGTTATTAATATATATGTATGTGTGTGTGTGTGTGTGTGTGTGTGTTTGTATGTGTATATATGTGTATGTATGTATGCGTTTATTTTTACTAGAACTTTTTTTTTTGACACTGCTAACTAGAGTTTTTGACACTGCCAGTGTTTCAACCGCCTCCCGCAGTGCCACATCCAACGGTATGTTTTGACTTTTATTGAGATTCCTTTCTTAACACACCTATCCTTCAACTATACACCTTATTATTATCTTCATACAGCCTACCATTCCATTACCGCTTTCAAAAAACTAAATGTCAATTGTCATCTATATATAGTACAACCTGTTTTTTGTTTCTTTATCATCATAACCTTGTTTTTACATTTATTCTTACATTTTAAAGTATTCTTTTAAAATTATTGTTTTCTTATAGAGTTATTTATACTTAATAATCTATCCCAACAATATTACACTAATGTTACCCTATTAATCTTTCAATTTCTTCACTTCTTAACCTTTGGTCCCGTTATCTGTTTATTTACAATTAAAGGTAACCTCCACTTGCTTGTTATCCACTGATATCTTATTATTATGTTATCTTATCCATATTTTAACTTTACTGTAACAATAGTTATTCAATTTTCAATCAATTTATTCGTTAACATTCATTTATTCGTTAACATTCATGTATTTATTTTCTTTTATCTATTTTCTTATCATGTATTTATTTTCTTTATCTTTTATTTCTGTATCTGACAACTTCTTCGTAATTTATATATACTTATATTTATTTTTTATTTTATTTTTATTTTTTCAACATGTTTGTATCTTTTGTAGCCCTGAAGACGACCTGCAAAGTGGGTCGAAACGTCGGCAAAAATTAAAATTATTTATATATTTTAATTTTTTTTTATTTTTTTGACCGCACCCTCGACTAATTCCTTCTCATATCATATCAACGGTCAACCAACTCTACATCAATTGTTTAATTAGTTTTATAATCGGGATTCCCAGGCGATCCAACATTTCCAGTTGGTATGCTGAGTTAAAGCGGCTTTATCTTTTCCAATTCTTTACAACCAAACATCTTCACATCCTCAATTTGTACACTCCATGCTCCTCTGTCTACTTTTTAAACATAATATCTCCATAGACAACCTTGTACAATCCTTCTTATAGAACTGCATCTCTCATGTATGGCACCTTTTTATAGAATTTCTTACCCATCTCCATTAGTAAAACCTCTTTATTAACTTCATTCTCCTGAATCAATCTTTCATATATATGTAAGAATACTTTTACTACATTTTTTCTTCTTTTTTTTTAGATGTTATATTAAAAATATTTTATTGGTGCAAAAATGTAAACATACCAATATGCGGTCGGATAAGTCATAAGTTGAACATCATAAGTTATAGTGAGTGTAAAAGGGAATTTTGGGAATGATTGAAGGGCCCTCTTTCTCTCCTAAATATCCCCTATAATTGGAGGGAAGCGTAAGGGGTGGACTCTGACCTCAATTTTAGAGGGATGATAAGGGAATAGTGGAGGAAAAGTGACCTCTATGCATACCACTACAGGTGTTCCAGAATGAAGTTTACTTTCGTTCATAATGCCTAATAATGAATTATATAATTTTCATTTATAAACAAAAATAAATTATTTAATTTATATAAAGAATTATTTATATTCTGAGGTCAGCTATACTTTCGAGAAAATATAATGAATAAAATGATTTTTATATGTTCAAAGATAATATAGATATTTATCTCAAATTACTTCCACTCATTATACAATTTAATAATTACATTTATATCAATAAAATAATCAACTAAATAATTATAAATTATTAACAAGTTTAAATGCCAATTATTTATAAGATATTACCTATGCAAGGAGCTGATGGCATACATATATTCCCATGACATTTCTCAGATGAAATTTCAGACCCATTAGGACTGTCAAACTCACCTCCACTCCCACATTCACTGGTTATTTCATTGATTCTTGCAAAGCTTTCATAGCCAGAACTTTGATCATCTGCTGATGGCAAACTAGGATGTTCTAATTCATTGTCTTCACTAATTTGTAATCCAGATATGTCTAAAATTAAAATATTAACACCACCAAAATTCATGAAAAATATATATATATTTTTTTAAATAATTCAAATCTAACGATAGTCAAATCTAGATTGAATACATAGACTGGTTGAATACCAAAATCAGTTAAAAAAATATATATACTTTTCTCATTTAAAAAACCTATTACAATTGTTTGACTGATATAAAATACTGTAGCACGGTATCAGAAAGTTAATGATCATGAGTAGAGACCGGATTTCCATGTTATTGTACTTTTTATTCGCTTGCGTAAACACAAGTGAGATCTATTCTTGGAATAGAATTTGCCTAAACTATTGGATAGTAAAAATCTGCTTTCCTAGAATTAGCTGCTTTGTTAGTAAGACATTTATAGTTATTGTTTTGGCTTGAATCCTCACTCACCCTTCAACCATTCAGTATCACTTCTGGCTTTGAATTGATTTGTAGAAATTTCATTCTTATAAAAAAAAATATATTGCTGAAAGTAAAATCTAATCTCCTGTTCAAAAATTAAAATCTGGATATAAAAATACACCGATTTGAAATATAAGGACAAAGAATTTGATGAGAAATTTCTTTACACCTTATGAATCAATCAGGTGATAGTTCATTGGGAAACAAGTAAGAAAAAAATATTCTTATCAAAGAATTGAATGTTTTTTAGAAAGAACGCAATCCCCAAAAATATATTTTTTAGTGGTAAAACAGCTTCAACACTAATTTTTGAACACTTGAAAATCTCAAACATAACAGTCTATTTGAAAATTCTTTAAATTTTAACAAAAAAGTTTGGGAATATATAATATTGGAAACTTCAACTCTATTAAAAAATAAAGTTTTCATTATTATTTTTAATAAAAGTTATATATCTAAAGTTCGTCTGATCTATGCAATATACATAAGCACCTATAAAACCTGTCTTCATTTATTCTTTCAAACCTTCAATGCTCGGCACTATTTGATAATCATTAGTATAATAGTTGATTATAATCTGGAATCTCAATTTCAATGTTACATTTCAATTTTTTTTTTTTTATCTCTTGGTTAACTCAAGATCTGTTAAGATTTTGATGTATTAATGTTATAAATAAAAACAATATTGATAATTTTACACATTTTTAGGTGTTAATTATACAATTTTACATATTTTGGATTTATACTGCACGATTTTGAGTTTTTCATTGCACGTTTTCCGGATTTTTGTTGCACAAAAATCTGGTCTCTAATCATGAGTATTTTTTTAGTTTTTAAGTTAGTAAAATTATGTATATTTTCACTTGCTTTTGTTCATGCCTTTTATTTTTATATTTAAAATAAAATCATTCAATATATCATTTAACAATATACATTATTTTTAAAGAAGATAGACTGGACTTGAAAAGTTTTATTTTGAAATTCCTACCCAATAAATATAGTAGGGTTTCCCATAAGTTTTTTACAAGCCACAATATGTATGACCTCAAGCCAGCTTGTTTGTAAACATGCAGGCTTATCTATTGTCCATTTAAGGTATTGATTTCAGTCGTTTCACAGGTCTAAAAGTATGTTTTGTTGGTGACAAATTCTACTTTAAAATATTTTTTTTTCACATCAAAAAAAAAAAAAAAAAAAAGAAAGGAACTTAAGGGACACCCTAATATTTAATATAATTAAATTTTGAGGAAGAATATCTGAAATATTTATTAAAAGCAACAGTGTTAATTACTTACATGTTTTTTAGTTAATTATTTTTGAAAACTTATCTTAAATACAGTATTTATTTAAAATTTTAGAATTTACCTATAATGGACGGATTTTCTCCATTATAGTTGTAAGTCCAGGTAGATGTGGCTATAACACATGCTTCAATTTTTGATCTAGCATCAGCTAAATATGCTTGATAATCTCCATATAAACTACCTTCAATCTTTTTGCTTCTAAAATATAACAAAAATTTTTATGGGTCATGGATAAATATCCAATAGTTAAATAACTAAAAATATCAATATAGAGATTTTTCACTTTTCAAAGAGTAAATGAAAAAATATTGTAACGTTACGTTTCCTTCAAAAAGTAAACAAACAGTTTCTGAATCAAATAATATTTATTTTACACAATAATTATTTCTCAGGTTGGATTGAGACAACAAACACATCCTCAATTATACAATATAAAAGCATACATTAATTGTACATAACATTTATGAATTTCCATTTATCTGTCGGGGCCTTATCTTGGCGCGCTTTTGAACTGTCTATTTATATTTCACTCACCCTATTCTGCAGTGAATCTTCTTCTATCTTGTTGTGTTCAACTTCTAAAATCTTCTATTCTTTTTCTTGTTGACTTTCACTACTTGTTAGCCACATTTTCTTCTCTCAATCCTCTTTACTAGCCAGCTGGCTACCTTTTGCCTTTCATCTGGCTCTTTTTCCCCACCATCTATCATTCTTTGTCTATTTTTGACAGTAGTTCGTGACGTCACTACCTTCACTCCACTATTCAAAATCACTATGTAATAAATTTACATTACAATATATATATTTTATGTAAAATTGAATTACAGAATACCAGCCATAATGGAATTCATGGATCAAGACTCCTCATCTTCTAGCTTATGTTTAGGGCCAACATGAACGTGGACATTGCATCCTGGGCAAGGTCTTGTTTAGTCGGTAGGAAATAGAAAGTCGAAAAAGTTCAGCGCCACAATTTAGTGTCATCCATTACTATTCACTTATAGAAAAACTGTCTTGTTTAATACGGTTTATGGCCATGATAATTAAATTGAGGTCTGTTACAGAATTAGTTGAATTTATCTAGTTTTATAAAACAATTATATGATGTAAAATTCTGTTCCTCTAAAGTTCCAATGTTTTCAGCAAAAATAATTAAAATAAATTGTAACGGAACTTTATTTCTTTTTTTCTGTATTGATTTGTTTAAATTGGAAGAATGAGATGGTTCGGCAAGTCATCCAGGAGATCAGGAACTATATTCTTAGCCATTTTGATCTATGCAATTAGCAATTAGAGATTAACAGATGCCGATATCGACATATTGGCCTTTTGGCTGATTATCGGTTTCGGCAGATTTCAAACGCCTATATACTGGCATAATTTTTTTTTGGTAATAAATGTGTCAATCAACCCTCAAGGGATCAACATAAACAAAAATTTGATCAAACACCGATTGTGTTATGACTTTAAACACCGATATATCGGCTTTATGACCTTATTTTATTAAGATTCTTAGTTTGACTACTTTTTTTGTGAACATCTTCCAAACTTTCTGGTCATCTCCTTGAACTGATATATTGGCCTCTTTTAATATTATATTTATTGCTAATAAACGTGTCAATCATTCATCAAGGGATCAACATAAACATAAATTTGATCAAAGACCAATATATCGGCATTTTGACCTTATTTTATTAAGATTGGTAGAGTTGGACAAATTTTTATTTAATTTTTATTTCTGGTCCTTCCCCTAATTTGAGCAAATGATGATATTCTAAAGACCATTTTATCGGCCTCACAAATTTATTTTTTTTTTGGGCATCACAACTCAATTTTTTGGTCATCCCCTTAAACCGATATATTGGCCTCTTTCACATTGAATATTATTTTTATTGCTAATAAATGTTTCAATCATTCGTCAAGGGATCAATATAAACAAAAATTTGATCAAAGGCAGATATATCGATCTTATCACCTTTTTTTATCTATTTTTTTGGTCCTCCACTTTCTCTTATTTGAGTAGATACCGATATTCCTAAAACTGATTTATCGGTCTCACATCCTTATGTTATTTAAGAACCATCTTTTTATTGTTTTCTTTTTCTATTTTTATATATATTCTAGTAACTTGTTTTCAATAGAAAGTTTAGATTTTCTATTCAGTAGTCTATATAGCTGGCCATAACGTCAGTTAAGTTCCTGTCTTTTAAGTCTCGTATGTGGATTCCACGTTAGTCGTCTGTTTAAGAGAAAAACAAATATTTTTTTGAAACTGGTGGACAGGAATTACGACGAAGGGTGAAGGTTATATGTTTACATTTGGATTCATTGACTTTGATGCGCCATTTCTTGCACCAGTGTTCAATCAGGGATAGGTGCCGTTGCAGGTTTATGGACGCTGTTTCAGGATCTGAGTAAGAAGATAGGATCGCAATGTCATCAGCGAAAGTTGCCAGGAGTGTATCGGGATAGACGGGAATGTCAGCAGTATAGATGTTGTAAAGGATGGGACCCAAGACGCTGCCTTGAGGAACTCCAGCCTCAATTGACTAACAGTCGGAAAATTCTGTACCACAGCGAACTCGAAATAGCGGTCAGAGATGTAGGATTGGAGTATTAGATATAAGGACTGTGGTAGATGGGATTTGAGCTTGAAGAGCAGTCCGGCGTGCCATACCCGGTCAAAAGCTTGCGCCATGTCCAGAAATGCACTCGAGCAAAACTGCTTGTTTTCTAGGGCTGAGGATATGTGGTCAACAACTCGGAGTCCTTTTGGACGGTAGAATGTTGGGAACGGAATCTGAATTGATGGGTAGGGATTTTTCGGGAGTCTATTATGGGTAGTATTCTTTGATTGGATACCGATATTCCAAAGACTGATACATCAGTCTCATGTCCTTATTTTATTTAAGGACCATCTTGTTAAACTATCTTTTTTTTTTTTTTACTTTCACTTACCTATATATGCAATGTATAGTAAGGGTAAGTATTGGGATCGTGAAAACTTTCGAGTCTGAGTTTTCAACAGAAATACATGTTATGAGGTCTTCTGTGTGTATGTATGTTATCAGTCTAACTCAAAAATGAAAAGTCGCAAGAAAGTGAAATTGCATATTTAAGGTTTTTATAAGCTTTCGATGTTATAGAAACATTTTCGTAAAAATCGGCAAACTGGAAGTGGTACTTTATATAATCGATTTAACACATTTTTACGATTTTCACAAAAACAGCTTTAACAATTTTGATTAAACTCAGTATATCAGTGTATTATTAAGCTGTTTTTAATATAATGTAGGTTTTATTCTCATTGATGTTCTCTATCATGGCTTATATGGCTAATTTTCAATACTGGCTTCCTCTAAAGTACCTTTATTTGAAATAATTAACATTTTACATTAATCTTTGATATAAAAAATAGTTAAAATATGAAAAAATTTGATAATTAACTTAAGATGAAATAAGAGATCATAACGGATAATAGTTGTAATAGAGGAATCAAAGAAATACGAGCTTGCTCAAGCTTACCTGAAAGATTACAGCAGGCTTCCATAAGTAACATGAGCTTTATATAATACGGACTCCGGACTATGTTCATATACATATGCAGTTTTCATAAATGCTATCATTGGTATTATTTAATATTTAATAGTATAGAATACAGCGATATAAAAGTTAGAATTTTGTATATATAAGATCATGTAAACAAATAAATATACCCACAATAAATTGTAAATAAGTGCCAATAATTTTTACTTTCACTTCCCCTTTGTCTGAAAATACTTATTTCTGCTAAGAAGAGGGGGATAAGTGAAAGTCGTGTGATACTTTTTACTTTCACTAATATATATATGTAATACATAGTAAGGGCAAGTATTGCGATTGTGAAAATTTTTGAATTTGAGTTTTCAATTGAAATACACGTTTTGGGGTACCCTGAGTCCAAATAACAGAAAAATGGTCTGTCTGTGTGTGTGTGTGTGTGTATTTGTGTATGTTAGCAATCTAGTTCCAAAACAAAAAGTCATAAGAAACTGATATTAGATATTTAAGATAGGTATATGCCTTAGATATGACAGCAACATTTTCCTTAAAATCGGCTAACCGAAAGTGCCACTTTATATCAATGCTGAAACACATTTTTACAATTTTCTCAAAAACGGCTCTAATGGTTTTGATTAAACTCAGTTTATCATTGTACAATGAAATGGTCTTTAATATTAATCAGGTCCTATCCCCATTGATGTCACTTTACAGGGCTTAAATGCTCAATGTTCATATATGTCTTCCTCTAAAGTACCTTTAATATGGTTTATTTTAAATAATTGATCATCTCACATTATTTAGATTTACGAAAAAATACTAAATATAACTTTTAAAAGAATTTGATAATTGAATAAAGGAGAAGAAAATAAAAATGCTTATCCGGATCGAAAATGATTCTCCGGAAATACTAGCCAGAAGGTATACGCATAATATACCGTTGGAAAGCGGAGAATTTCGGAAAAAACAATATTTAATAAAGAAAGTTGTAGAAGGTAACGGAGTGTGTGGAAAAAATTATAAATAATGATTTTTGAAAACTAATATTATTTAACGTAAATCACAAATGTTTAACGTTTGGACGTAGGAAGGAGGCGGCCCCATCGCCTGGTCATAGTACCACAAATAGCCACTGGTCCTCCACGTTGGGGAACACTACTCGTACACACACATTTATACTAACTACAGCACACTACACTCACCCCCACACTTCAGACAAAGGTCATTATCAATGCTCACCCTAAGGTCACTTTTCCTAGGTAGTCGCCCCGGATAGGAGAGCGAGTCAGGGAGCTCTGAGGAGGCAGCCCCTCCACTTGACTCGGGTGCAGTTGGCTGATAACCAGCTCCCCTTAATTAAATAACTATAGTTGGCTGATAACCAGCTCCCCTTAATTAAATAACTGTATCACGAAACCTAAAACAGCCTCGGAATTGATCAGTCTCTGAAATAAACAACCAGGCGCCCCCAATGGTAAGAACTTTGACATAGGGTATTGGAACACCTTGTCCTTATACCGATCTGGATCACTGAAACTGCTCCTAGATCAAATATCAAATTGGGCATAGTTGCCATTCAGGCAATCCGATGGACAGATCAAGGCATAATGGAGAAGAAGAATCACACCATATTTTACAGCTGCTGTGAGAACACCCAC